AATAAGATATCAATTCACAATTAAATAACTTTTCACAATTTGAAATAACTTAACAAAATTCACTGCTAAAGCCTAATAATAATCAAAAGACAAAGGTAGACATATGGGAGATAAACTTCAGACACACCACCAAAATATAGATGAAAAAGACAAAATGGAAAGAAAGCACTTCTGCTTTTTGTTGCTGTGGTAAAAGGCTCCTGAGAAGGAAAGGCTTTATTTGGCTTTCAGGTTAGAAATATTCCATGGAGAGAAGCACAGACTCAAAGCAGGAACCTGAAGACAGGAACTGAAGCAGAGACCATGGAGGAACACTGCTTAATATGCTTAATAGTGTGCTTCTCTTAGATTACTCAGCTATCTTTCTTACATAGCCTGGGTCCACCTCCCCAGGATGGCACTGCCCTCAGTAGGCAGTAGATATAATAGAGAAATTAACAAATAACATCAGAAGATTAGATTCAGCTGCAGTGGAGGAACACAAATATATTTTAAAGGTGTCACTGTCGCCAACAGAAAAGTAATAATAAAGAGCGTTGATTGAGACTATTTCCTCTGAGGGAATAGATACACACTGTTGCATAGTAATTGACTTTTTCTATCATTGTCTTGCACACACAGATACCCATTTATGTATCAAAATGATATCTAAATGATATGTACATGTAGTTAAGGAGGAATGGAAATTATCAGCCTAGCAGAGTGTGATTTCTGAGACCAATCTGCCACTCTGCTAACCCCTGGATGGAGATGTAACCTTGGACTGTACCCCCACTGTAAACACATAAATGTCTTCACAGTCATATGCTGGACTGAAGGAGGCGTGAGGCGGAGATACCTGGATCATGGCAAGTATTCCATGCTAGCGTGTAAACACAAATATGAATGGTTCTACATGTGTCTGTCAATATACCTGCCCTCCTCTGTTCCACCACTGCTCTGCCCAGGATTCCATGTTGGAGGACCAGGAAAGTGTCACTTAAGCACTCATTGTGTAAGCATGGCCAGTGACTGAAATGCGGTCATCTGGTTATCTGTGCAGTGGCTGGTGACGTGGCCTGATGAGTCAACTTCTCATTATTGTAATAAGATAGTCAACATGAACAATGTAAGGGAGGAGTGACATATTTTGGCTCATGGTTTCAGAGTTTTCTTTCATGCTTGACTGACTTCAGCTGTCTGGGCCCATGGCAAGAATGTCATGATGAAAGCAGAATAAAGTAGGTTCATGCCACTGTTGGTACAATGTTCTTTTGGAATGCATGCAATTTACCCTTGTTCATTCAAATGCTTATTTCTCTGCTCCACTATCTGGTTTCAATCCAGACATCGCATTGTGATGCTTATTCTAAGTGTCACCTGTCTCAAGTTTTTGTAAACATGCCACCATTTGTTCTCTGTATTATCAATTAAAACAATCTGCTACAATGCTGAGCAATGGAAAGGATTGGGTGGGACATCCTTGTCCAGAATGGGAGGAAGATGAAGGAAGAGAGTGGAAAGAGAGGAGGAGAATCCGGAGGAGAGGTCTTAGAACCATGTGGAGAAATGAACCGGACCTAAGAGAGCACTAAAAGCAAGTATAATGGGTGAAATCTGAATGGTAGGAAACTATGCAGGCTTGGAGGTTTAGGATGGAATCACTATTGCCCAGCATTGTGCTCTAGGTTAATTAAATAAATCCCAGTCTCTGGGTGGTGATTTGGGTATACAGCTCTGTAGGAATAACTGCTGCTTTCCTAAAAGATATATCATTAGTAAATACTAATACTCACAATAATGGCACTCATAGATGCCAGAAAACAGAGGGTGGGATGTCTAGAGACAAGGTACACCTACAAATTCTCATGTCCTGTGGCACTTCTTCAAATCAGGCCCAAGTTTCTGCCATCTCCACTGCCTTCCAATGTTCAACCCAGTCGAGAGAGTCCATACACAAATCAACCCATCACTTCAGTAAGAGCCACTTGGAACCACTCACTTTCTCAGCAACACCATCATCAAGGGACTGGGCTTTCAACACACTAGCCTCTATAGAATGTTCCAGACACAACCCATAACTCCTGTTATATGGAGTTAAAGGAAGTTAATAGAATCTTTTTCCAACTTGAAACATTTGGCTGGAAACCAACCAAGGTCAGAGTTGCTGGGCAAAGATCCACACACAGCAACTCTGAGATCACTGCTGCCACTCAAGTCTGCAGCTGGCCCCTGCCCTCATTGCCTCTTTTTGGTTCTCAGGAAGTCTATTGCCTCTTTAGAACATGTATCCCCTCCCAGCAGCTAATCCTTTTACTTGAAACCCAAATCACAGTATTTTAAAAAGAAGCCTGAGAAAGAATGGTGTTCACTTTACATTCAGGAGAGAGGTCTGCTGTGGCTACAGGGGAGTGAATGGGAGGTGGCTGTTGCATTTTGTGTGTGACCCCAGCTGATGCCAAAAGGTCTGGGTATTCACACTAAGACTACTTGTCAAAGAGTGTGGACACGTTAAATTGCTTGATGTTTCTAGTACTTTTTATGCATTTGTATACATGACTGGAGAGCCCCAGATAATTCCCAAAGCCTCTTCTCTATTTAAATGGATGTAGAAGAAAGGAAAGAGAATGTTTAAAGTGTCTTTAATGAAATTTTGTCTTTCAGATCCAGACAAGGGACTGCACCCAATTCAGACTTTCAAAATCTGGAGCCAAGAGCAATGTTTAGAAGACACAGGATGCATGCCCCTTGTTGTATGTCCAGTTTTGGAGAACCTTGCTGGGATGCATGAAGGAGGACAGAGAAGTCCCTGCCAGTGAGAGACGGATGTGTCTCTGTCGGCCATGCCTTTACATCCTCCTCCGGAACAAAGAAAACTTCACACCAGAGAAGGCCAATTCTTTGTCCCTGTAGATCAGGATACAAACATTATCCCTGTATATTCAGGTGTGAACACAGTCAAGATGAATTATTGAATACTGCCATATTAAAGTGAGGCTTACCAAGACAGCGAAGTCATGAAATTAATTCCATCTCTCGGTGGGATCCAATCTAAAGCCTCATAGTCTTTAAGCCCTAAAATCACCTACATCAAGCCCAAATGCTTCCTAATAAGTCATTCCCAGTACTCTTACCAATCTGGTCTAGTGTCCTTGGAGTGTCTTTCTCTATGACACCATAGCAAATCCAATTTATTTGGCTCCAGGGAGATTAACTAGGTTTCTGTTGAAGGGTTTGACAGGCCTTAGGAATGCTTCGGCTCTCTCTACCTTTTCTGATTTTAATCTATCTATCTATCTATCTATCTATCTATCTATCTATCTATCTATGTCTCAATCACTAAAGAGCAGTGACTTCTTTGGTCCTATCAAGAATTTCCATGTTCACAATATTGGGATCCTTAAGCAGGCATCTCTCCCTCCAGCTTCGAGGTTCCTGACAGAGGGGACATCAGGCATCTGTGAGGCCACCTGTGGACCACCTGCAAACCACCTGAAACCACCTGGGTATGCTCTGGGTTACCTTAATAAACCACCCATGTGGAACCAGTCACGTGGCACGATTTGTGAACCTGTCATGTAACTTTGCTGCACAATCCTAACGCACAGTGTATGACCTGATGGGTGTTTTATGTGGGTCTCTGACAACATTCCCGGGTAGACTTTTCTTTCCACATTACTTGTGTGGATGAGAGAGTACCCCTGCCTCACACTACTGTGAGTATCATTTTTCTAAACCCTCTTTGTAAACAAACGAAGAGGGGGTTGGCAGCACAGAGCTTTGAAGACCCTCGGTAAATCTAGTAAGATTTCAATAACTTCGTTAACTTAATGATTTTTACTTGTCTCCCAGCTGCGTACCCTTTCAAGGTACAAAGCATATAGCTTTTTCACATAGATTTCACTGAGATGTTGAATCCGTTTAAAGAAAAGAAAAAAAAACCCTGTCAAATAAAAATAATAACAAAAGCTTGGAGGACATCAAACAAGGAAACAAAAATCAGGCAGAGCTTTGAAGCCCTTAGTTTGGCTCTGATGCTGGGAACTTAACTCACAGATCTTCTCAAGAGTTATCGATCACAAACCTCTACCTCACCTCCTGGTAATGTTCACCTCCCTTTCTCCTCTCCCTCCCCTATCCCCCTTTGCCCCTCCCCCTCCCTCATGCTAGATGAGCGCTAAATAATGCAGCAGCCGGTCCTTTAATCTTTTTGAGTTTTGGTTTCACACTGTAGCACAGGCTGGGCTCACATTTACAGCAATCCTCCAGCCTCCACCCCCAGGAGACCAGGAGTCATCGCTAAGAGTAAGTACACCAGGGCTACCCATGCACTGAATGAGATGCTGAGAAAGGCCAGATTGTCTGTCTGCCTCAGTTCCCGGAAAGTTTCAGTTCTTCAAATTGGGAGGGGTGTGAAGGACTTCGGTTCTAAAACTGCTTGGACAGCGGATTCTTTGGTTCTCCTGAGTCCCGGCTTCAAGTCACCACGAGGGCCAGTTGTGCTCTTCCGAACGTGGGAAAGACCTGAAGAACGCTTGGGTAGAAAAGCAAGCAGAAAGAGCTGTGCCCCTTCCCCCTTTCAGCCGTGCAGCATCTTGGCCATCCATCAGCTCACCTCCACCTCCTTGGAGCAGGGCGGAGGGCATTCCTGTGGACTCCCTGGAGTCCTCGGGGTGGGGAGGGGAGGGCAGGGATGGAGGCTGGTCCTCAGCGTCCACAGGAGGCTGGGCAGCGCTGCAGAATAACACCCGAGGGAGTCTGGGTGGTGCAGCCCCAGATGCCTGCCGAGCCCAGCAGCCAGGAGAAGCTGGCTTTGGACTCAGTCTTCGAAGAGTTCTCTGGAAGTTGGAGGGGCGGGGCGAGCGGCGCTCTCCTGTCCTACCGGAGTCCTGCGCGGGAGTGTGAGGAGGAACTCGGGTCCCGCAGTCTCATTCCCAGGGTTGTCCCGCTCCCGTTCCTCTCTTGAGCAGAGGTGGACACCGGGTGCTGCCTACGGGGGTCGACAGGGCGCAGGCGCCGGGATGGCAGAGCGCAGGGGCAGAATAGGGGGGCTGGTCTTGCTCAAGGCCCTGGCCACCCGGCTGCTGTTCGTGTTGCACTCTCTGGTCGCCGTCTGGCGAGTGACCTGGGTGAAGGAAGAGCACTGGTACTGGCTGCTGGCCCTCCTCAACCTCTTGCTGGTCCTGGAGACGGTGCTCACCCTCAAGTTCAAGCGCGGCAGAGGCTACAAATGGTAAGAGCGCCCTGGGAAGGGAGAGCGCACAGGGTCCCAGGCATTGTTCCTCAGGGTCCTAACTGTTGTTCTTGTAGTCTGTGGTTTCCTCTCTGGCATCCGGGCCGGTTTGGTTCTTCTTCGTGGAGTTTGGCCGGCACGGGGGGTGCGGGTACAATCTTTTTGGGCACACCAGTGGTACCTTAGGTCCCAGCGCTGCGCTGGGGAGGCTGGAATCCAGAGCACCTACGTGGCTGATCAGTTCAAACTATCTTCGCTAGAGGAGTGAAGCTGATCGCTGGGTGCCCTGCTTTCTAAGTTGGGGCTTGAGCCCTAGACCAGTCCTGGATGCACTGGCCAGGGTGGGGATGCTTTGCCGGGCACCTGTGATCCTTGCACAGCTGAGCGCTCCGTACGTGTCCACCGCACAGTGGTTCCCCATTCCTCCCCACGCCCACGCCTTTGGTTTTAGCCTCTTCCCTTCTCTACAATCCTCAGTGTGCCTGCGGTTTTAGCCACTTCCAATTTCTTCCAACCCAAACGTCCCTGGCTCTCCAGTGTGGAACCAGTTTCAGGTATCTGGGTTTGGCGGCTTGGGAGCTTGTCAGCCTATCCAGACAGGCACAGGTTGTATGCCAGCCACACTGGAGGAGGGACCAGCAGGTAGCTGTGTTGGGAGGATGGGGGGTGGTTGTCTGAACCTCAGCATTGCAACTCAGGTTCCGGCTGGAGGCTGTAATTCCTCTTACAGACCTAATACAAGAGGGAGGACTAAAGCAAAGACTGCCTGCCCATTTGCCAAGAGCACCCCCAGCTGCCCATCTTCACCTTCCAGGGATGTTTCATCCCAAACTTCTCCAAGTTAGGCCTCCCCCTGCCCCCGCAAGGAAGGAGAAGATAGTGTTAGTTCATTTATTTACTGCGTGCAGAGAAGCCCCTCAGCAACACAGTGCAGAAGGGTCGAACATTTCGAAGGCACAATAGAAGAAAATGGGCTATCTTTGAAAGTGATGTGAACTCGACTTAAAAAGCTCTGAGAGATGGGGCTGCAGCCCGGGATAAAAAGTGAATAAATTGTAATAAAATTTTTTTTAAAGAAATATATGTAAAAGCTCTGCTTTTGAAGAGAATCTAGAATTGTCAATGCTAAGTCATTGGAGGGCTTGGGATAACTAGCAGAGCAAGGAAGGGCATGATACTTCCCAATATCTTTCCCACGGACAGTTTATTAAGCATGAGGCATTTGCGGCAATTTCTAATCTGACTTCTTGATAGCACAAAGAAAAATGCTATTCTCCTCCCAGAAGACTGACTCGTGAAGGGGAGAAGCAAAGAAGGAGAAAGTGTAAGCCCACCACATCCTGCAACAGATAAATTTGAGTATTTTTTTATTGCACATTTGTAATGCTCTGAAGTAGACATATCTTCCATCGCAGGAGGAAGTCTGAGGCCCAAAACTGTCCTATGTAAAGTAGTCCTGACACCAATCATGAGTGCTTCTGGGACAAATGTCAACCTCAGACTCAGAGAAGAGCCAGCTCAGCAAAGCCTGAAGTAACCCTTTTGTCCCCAAGAGTAGGCCAAAGCCATTTTGGGCTGGTGGAATATTAGCCTTTCCTGTGTATGCTGACTGACTGCTGAGTCAGGCTGTCGTGGCACTTAGACCCAAGAAGGAAAAACGCACGCGGGTCCGTGAGTCAGATTACTCAGATTAAGAGCCATGCGGGCATCGAAGGTGTGGGCTGCAGAATTCGACTTAAAATGGGGTAGATTGTGGGCATTTCTTCTTACTCGCTGTGTGACCTCAAGCTTACTTAGTGTCTGCCAGCTTCAGTTTCAGATCTGCGAATGTGTATTTCACAGGTTGTTGAAGAATTGTGTGAGCTTATATAGTTGTTGATGGTTAATGAATCGTAAGAGGCTTTCATTATATCGTGATTTGTTAAACTTCTTTCATATTAGAATATTCTATATAAAAATATCAACGAGATACTTCTTTTTCTTGTGTAAGTCAAAGAACTTTAACAGAAAGATTAGAAAAAAAAAAACACTTGGTTCAGGGTACAGAAATGAGGAAAAATCTTCTATTTTGAACTACAGACCTGTGCCATGTATTGTATATTTGAGCACTGGCTCAAGAGAAAGTTTGCTGGCTTGATATCCATCCCAACCAATATTTGAAGGCAAACAGAGAAAAACTTTGATATGTCCAGCTTATTAGAAAAGTTTGGGAACAAATAAGAGTTTGCAAAGTTGTGCAAAGGGTCTTCTTTAGTTCCCTCCCCCAATACCCACGCTACACTTTGATGTTACAGAACATACGCTACAAGTCAGTCTGCAGACAGAGTCATTTCCACTGCAGATAAAACCACAAACAAGTGTGAGGAAAAGTAAGATAATGGGCTTCTGAGAATAGATACATAAGTATCCTTGAAATATCATGATGACAATGAGAAAGGTTTTGATTTGGGACTGAATTCATTCTAGGTTGTAGTTTTCTCAGAAAAACACAGCACAATCATTTGCTATTTGAGTGTTAAGAACAGTTTTCTATCCAAAATTACCAGCTGATAGAATCAAGGACAGAGAAAAACCCAACAGTACAGTAATATCTATGTTAAGCATATACAGTGAAGTACAACATATTATATATATATATATATATATATATATATATATATATGGGAAAATGCTAGCTTCATTTAGTTGTATGTATAGATTCACATGGGCTGAGATAGTAAAATAGGTAGTAAATTTTGAACTATGGGTCTTATATTTTGGAACCTGCCCACAGAACCAAAAGTTTCTGTATGTAAAGAAATGAGCAAAAAAAATTAACATCCTGTCATATTGAAGGAAAATGAATGTGAAAATATCTGATTTATATTAAAGAACTAATTGAAAAATTACGGTATGTTTATTTTGATACTATTGAAAAGGATGTGGTAGGTTTTAACCACTCTCCAAAGAGGCTATCCACGGTGTGTCATCAGGACACTGCAGTGACAGGATTCTGTGTTATAGCTCATTTGCTACAAGGATGGACTTGGAGGAGAACTATACATTTTCCAATTGGAAACACTTGTTTTACCCATCCAAGGAAAAAGAAAGAAAACAAGTCGCTCAGTGAGAACAATTACAGAAAAGAAGAAGAACGAGGAAGAAGAGAAGGGGGAGGAGGAAGAGAGATGAAAATATCACCTAATTCAGACTTTACTTGATTTTTCCCCATTATCTGGGAAACAATCCAATGGGTCTATGAATTGTCACTTAGGTAAAGTCAAAGCACACAAGACAGTTTTTCAGTTGCTTTGCAGCCAATAGTGCTAGGGAGGAAGAGGCCATCTCAGCTGCTGCAGCTCTCCCATGTTAAAATCTGATCTAATCCCATAGAACCCAATCAACAGATATGACAGAGCAGAGCAAAGAGAACAGCTCACCCCTGCAGGCAGAAGTAAGCATGCACACACAGGGCGAAGAAATCCCTTTGCAGTAACTCTTACCACCATGAACTTCCTCTGGCTGGCAAGGCTAAGATGAATATTCTTTATTTTGTTAGAATTTTGTTAAAATTTAAGCCTGGACCCTGAAAAAACTAAATGAGGGAATGGCACAAGTCCCAGGACTGTAAAAGACAGCAGGGATTCAATTTCTTAATGTAGCAAGCGTGCACTTGTCTCCAAGGACACTTTCCCAACCCTTTGGAAGGGAAAAGTAGAACTAAATGCTGAGCTCAGCTGCCCAGGGACAAGGAGCATTACAGCATCCCAACTGACTTGCCAGCTGGAGCAATTAATGGTGGAATTCTATAGAATCCAGAGGGTGGATCAGTGACACACCCCTGTGAAACCCATAAGGGATGCCGGGGAGCTTGCTCTCCATTTCCGCTAGTGTTCACACTACCTGGATCTTCACTTATGTTTCTCCAAGATGGAAATCAGCATCACTTAGTTTAACTTTTCATGATTTTTATTTTCAGTTGCCTGGGCAACAATCCAATGGATCTGAGAATTATCCTTTAGGTAAAGACTCAAATACAAGACAATATTTCAGTTTCTTCCCAGCCAATAGTGATAAAATACTCCTCAGGGGATAGAAAAATTACTCAAGATTGTGACAAGTTTGAAGCCTGTTCACTTGGAAGGAGGCAGTATCTGAGAATTAGAAAAACAAAAAATTCAAGTTGAATTTAGTGTCAAAAGTACAGAATTTTAAGCACAGATCTTTCTTCATCAGAACATCAACAATGCAAAGGAATTTTGTCTTATTGAGATTTGGGGTTAGAAGATAATTACCTGTGCTGTCTCTCCTTTCTCTTTCCTTTCTGTTTGATTGGGCAAAAACTATTTTTTCTGTTTTGTTTTCTAGACAGCCCTGTGCCATCCCAATGGCCTTTAACCTGTGGCATTCTTTCTTCCTCCTGAGTGTTGTGATTATAAGTAGATGCTACTAAGCCTGGCTTGACAATTATTTGCCTGACAAGGAACAACAATATCATGCAAGTAACTGGGCCTGACAGAAGTAGCAGAGGCGGGGGGGGGGGGGGAACCAAATGGCTGAAATTTTAAATAAAAAGTAGTATTTTGGTCGTTTTGGTCTGGTCCGGTGTGGTCCGGTCCGGTTCTCTTCTCTTCTTCTGTTGGGGGTTTTGTTTTCCCGGTCTTGGATTTGTGTCGTTTTCATGGTTGTCTTTACTTTGATATTTAGCCTAGGTTACAGCACCTGACTGTGATGTAGACTTTGTCTTAATACGCAGTACCACAAATAAATAAATAATGCTTTTTCCTCCGTACAAAAAAAAAGTAGTATTTTGATTAAGTGTGCAAATGTGTGGAATGAGAATTGTTGTGAACCTTTAGCATTTGCCAAGTTTCAAGGGCTGCCAGATTCCACACAGGTGATCCCATCTAATCCAGCAACCACTGCAACTGTTTTAATTTTTTCTCTTTTACATGTGGGAAACTGAGGCAGGGAGCTGCTAATCTTTTCACTCAGGCTCATAGAGTTGCAAAGGAGGAGTA